CACACAGGGGACCCGCACCCACCCTATCCACACGGCCTGGTCACACAGGGGACCCACACCCACCCTATCCACACGACCTGGCCACACAGGGGACTCGCACCCACCCTATCCACACGGCCTGGTCACACAGGGGACACGCACCCACCCTATCCACATGGCCAGGCAACCTATGCCCTCCGAGGGCTCAAAGAGCATCTCTCATTTGCCAACATAGCATCTTGCATGAGGTTGCCTCTGGCCGAGGGACCAGCTACAGTGAGAGAGGTGGCACAAGGACCGTGACCCAGGACAGAATTTTTTAAAATGCATGATTGCATTTACGTGCATCGCAAATTGGAAAAAACGAAATCATTTTAAGAATGAAGACCACAACAAAACAAAACTGGCTGGGCGTGATGGCTCACGCCTGTCATCCCAGCACTTTGGGAGGTCAAGAGTTCAAGACCTGCCTGGCCAACATGGCGAAACCCATCTCTACTAAAAATTCAAAAATTAGCTGGGCGTGGTGGTGGGCGCCTGTAATCCCAGCTACTCGAGACGCTGAGGCAGGAGAATCGCTTGAACCCGGGAGGAGGAGGTTGCAGTGAGCCAAGATTGTGCCACTGCACTCCAGCCTGGGTGACAGAACGAGACTGTGTCTCAAAAAAACAAAAACAAAAACCTACAGTCATCACAAAAAAACAAATCAGTTGCAATCTCTGCAGCGAGGGGCAGATAGGATTGCTTCCTGGGGGGTGGGGGGCATGCCTGGAGGGAGGGCAGCATCATTTCTTCAGTCCTCAGTGGCAGTTACAACTTTCCCCTTTCACAAACCCGGAGACAAGGTCCTTCTCACTGGCTGGGGGAACTTGGCCTTCACCCGCCTTCCCTGGTCCTCAGTTTCCTCATTTGTAAATGGAGAAGATGAAGATAATGACCTCATCTCCCTGTAGCTATCCAGAGGCCGAGTGAGTGAGGAACCAGCTGTGCCTGGTGTGCCACCGGCACTCCGGTGCTGGCGGCCAGTGAATGGCGGCTGCTGCTGGATTTTCCCAGCAGGGAGTCAGTGGTATTCCTGCTGTACTGATGAGGGGACAGCAGAGCCAGGATTTGAACCCGAGACTGTCTGACTCCAGTGCCTGTGCTCATTAACCTCTGCCCCCGATAGGAGGAGCGGGAGAGACCCAGCCCATGGTTCAGCAGGGGATACAGCCAGGTGGCCCGGCTACCCTTCCTAGCGCAGCTGGTCAGCCGGGATGAGGCCTGGGCTGAGGCTCCCGGCAGTGGTGGGCAGGCGTGGGAGGCGCCCAGGGCACTGGCTGGTGGGGTCTGAAAAATGGCAACTTCACAGAGTCTAGTGCGAAAGGTGCCTCTCCCCACTTGCAGTGATGGGAAACCGAGGCAGGGAAGGCAGTTGAAGGAAGCTGGTTCCTTGGCATGAGCTGGTAGGTCAGATCAGCGCCTGTCTGAAGGCATAGGGGAAAGGGGCCGACAGACGTGTCTGGGTATGAAAAGGACCAGGATGTGAGGCCGGGCGTTGGCTGCTCAGTGTAGAGGAGTGGGGTGCCAGTAGACCTGAAGGATGAGGGGCTCTAAACGCCCTGGTCTGGCCCAGTTGCCACAGAGCCCACCAGTTCTGGAATGCAGGCTGGGTGCCGGAGCGGAGCGTTCCGGAAGCCGCCTCCAGCTGAACAGGAAGGAGCACCACTAATTGTGGAGAGGGTAGAGCTCACTGCCTTGTGCCACCATTGCCACCCCAGGCCACCTCGTCTCTCAGCAGAAACAGCGCCAGGCCACACTCTGAAAACTCCAGGCACTGGTCCCAGGAGCTTCAGGACCCTGGGCCTGTGTCTTAATTTCTGTGAGCCTCAGTTTCCCCATGCCAGGCCATTGTATCAAGAGGAAAGGTCCAGCCATGCAGCCCCCACTAGAGTGACAACTGTCCAGTTTTGCTCAAAACTCTGCCACCGCCAGAGCTGAAAGGCTTGAGTCCTGGGAAGCTCCTCCGTCCTGCGCAAGCGAGGGTGGTGGGCCACCCTAAGGCAGGCAGCATGGGTCGGACATGTGGGCGGCCAGGGCCTCTCCCCTCCATGCCGGGCCTGCGGCCCACGACAGCTTTTCCGCTGCGAGTGCGGCCCCCTCCTGGGCTTCCGCGCTGTGATTTCGTCATAACGCAGGGATAAGCCCAGACTCCCCAGACAGCTGGGCCTGCTCCGCTCAGCTCCCAGCTCCCGATGAGTCAGCCCCAGTCAGGCCTCCCACAGACAAGGCCGGCCAGGGCTGCGGATGCCACGTCCCCACCCCAAGCCTGCCCCTAGGCCCCAGGATGGCCTCCCTGGCTCAGGCCCAGCTGCAGGCAGCAGCAGCAGCAGGAGCCAGGGAGAGCTCCTGGCCTGAGGGACAGGGAGGCACCAAGTTGGCTCCCCAGCCACGTGGCCTCACTGCTCACGGTCCTCCTGGCCTGTCCTGGAAGGGGGCTCGTCCATGGACACCCCCACATGAGACAGAGAACAAAGGCGGAGGGCAGGAGGACGAGGACGTGGCCTGGTGGCCTCTCACTGTACCCACCTCTCACCCCAAGGCCCCTTCATTAAGCCCTGTCGGCCACAGCTGGCACTCAGACTCCACCAGGGGCTGGGCCTGGCTGTCACCCACCCCCATCCTCCAGTGAGCGAACAGGACTCAGAGTGGGCCACATGGCCAGCTGGAGCCATCAGGCCCCCTGTCCCCCACGACCTAAGCTCACCCCTTCGCCGGCCCCACGGTATCTGGGTGCAGAGAGAGGGCCCGAGCCTGCTCCTGGCAGGAGGAAGGGGGGTGCAGAGCTGCTGTTGAGGCAGTGGGGAGGCAGGGGGAGGCAGAAAGGGAGAAGCTGGGGTTGGGGGGCTGCCAGCTGTACGTACAGGGGGGAGCTCTGCGCCCAGAAGCCCATGGCGGTTCCCAGCCACATGGCTTGTTCCCCACCCCCAGGGTCTTCAAGGACCCCACTCACAAGGGCAGCCCTGCAAAGAGAAGCTAGAGAGAGAGTGTGACGGGAACGGATGTGACGGGAGTATCGGGACCCCCAGCTTGAGGGTGGAGGGTGGGGTAGTCGTGGGGGCAGGTTGGGGAAGAAGTCACAGACACCCCCACCCCACCCCACGCACAGAGCCGTGCTCCTAAGGAGGTTGCCAGCAGTGGGAGAGAAGCCCCCAGCCCCACCCTTCCTCTCACCTGCCCTCCTCTCCTACTGCCGGAGAAACCGGAGGCCAGAGTGCAGGAGCAGAGCCGGGGGCCTGGGGCAGACGTAGTCTCCCCTCCTCCCAGCCACTCCGGAGTCTGCAGGACCAAAACCTCCCAGCAGCCCCCTCACTTTGGCAGGAAGAAGAGGGCTGAAGGCTGAAGCCGCAGAGGCGGAGTTGTGATTAAGACTGGACTAGGCTCCTAGATACCCCCACGAGCCTGCCCTGACACCTCCGAAGTGCTCCCAGGACCCACGGGCCCACCCAAGTTGCCCCACAGGGGTAGGGAGGGAGACTCAGCAGGGGTGAGGGGGCGGGTGGGAGAAGAACCCTTCGCTAGGGACACCCCCGACCCGCTTCGAGCCCTGCACGCAGCCCTGATATACTTAGCACGACTGTGATTGAAAACCACGCTGAGTTCTGGAGCCCACGCCCTGCCTGGCCGCCTGGCCTGGGTGGGCCAGGGGGGATCCCCAGAAGGCGTGTTTGAGCTGAGTCGGAACAGAGGAGGATGGGCAGACCAGGGGGGCCAGGAAAGCAGGAAGGTCCCAGGAGTACAGCCAGGGCCCTGAGGCTGAGCGTTGGTTTCCCGAGGCAGAGCATTGGCGCGCACAGGTTTCCCGGGGCTGAGCGTTGGCGCGCACAGGTTTCCCAGGGCTGAGCCTTGGCGCGCACAGGTTTCCCAGGGCTGAGCCTTGGCGCGCACAGGTTTCCCGGGGCAGAGCATTGGCGCGCACAGGTTTCCCGGGGCTGAGTATTGGCGCGCACAGGTTTCCCGAGGCTGAGCGTTCGCGCGCACAGGTTTCCCGGGGCTGAGCATTGGCGCGCACAGGTTTCCCGGGGCTGAGCGTTCGCGCGCACAGGTTTCCCGGGGCTGAGCGTTCGCGCGCACAGGTTTCCCGGGGCTGAGCGTTCGCGCGCACAGGTTTGTCCCTGCATGCGTTGATTGATTCAACCACTCACGGTGAGCGGGCTCTGGGCTGGCAGGTCCTGGCTGCGAGGCCTCTTCCCATGGGGTTGACAATCTAAGGATGGGCACGAGGAGAGAGGAGGAAAAGGTCAAGGGGAGGGGCAAGGACCCAAAGACAAGAGGGGAGGAGGCG